CTTTCGAATGGTACAAGGCGTGATGAGTCAGGAAACACCTCGTGGTGCCGCAGAGTTCTTAGTAGCGACAATGATTCTGCACAATTTGATGGTCCTCTACCGGGACACTGCCTGCATAACTTTGTTCGTTGAGGGCTACAGCAATGACGACGCTTTTAATGTTGAAGATTTCACATGTGATCAAAGAAGGGTTGGGATTTTCAAGCGGAACGCAATTGCCAGTCATATTTGCAGTTAACAATTGGAATATATGCAAAATAGCCTGATCCCTAGTTGTTGGTGCTCTCCCCAACGCCAATGTTAGCACCAAGATGCTGAATGAGATTGTCCAACGCTTGGGTCTGCGCTTGCGCACTTTGGGATGGCTCTCGCATTGAGTTTAGAAGATCATAGGTGCGATTATCGTTGCCCTGCACCCTTGAAACCTTAAGTGCATCCGCGATGCTATGGAGATCATCGCCAACAGCTTTCAGTCCTTCTGTAGTTTCAACTTTATCACGCGCGCGCTTACCAGTATACCATCGCCGCTCACGTGCTCCTCCAGCACTAAGGGTGTCGTCGATTGGTTCGTTGTCCTGCCCGGCTAGAGTGGATTGCTCAGCCGAACTCACCCATTGGCTCGGTGGCGTCGCTTGAGAAGAACGGGTCGGCTCCCATGCCGTCTCGATCACCCACATGTTACGCATCGCCTCGTAGCACAGAGGCTCTTTTAGCTGCTTCTCCGTTGCGTTGCCTGTGTCTTGCAACGCTACACGATATGCAGTGCACTGCTTGAGCAAATTCTTGAGCAAATGCTTGAGCTACAATATAACATATCATTTAAACTCATAGTCAATTAAATGTTATACAATCTCAATTGTAACAAGACCAAAGTGTAAATCTTGGACTTGCACTGCGGTGGAGTTACTTGAAGCTCTCTCAGACGGAAGGTTTCTGTAGCCACCATCTTCCAAGCGGCAGCAAGCTGCTTGGCGCTCTTGCTGCCTTGGAAGCAATTCTTCATGGTAGCAAAGCGAAGACGCAGCAGAGTTTCAAGTCCATGCGAACGCGTGCTCTGCCGTGGCCGTCTTTGCCCTCTTTCCACGGCTACTTAACATCTGAGAGGCGGGCATAGCAGATTCGACTATGCTTAGCGGTGGAGGGGTCATCGGCGTTGCAGACAGAGATAACTAATCTTGCGCGAAGGGAACAATAGTGGCGTCTACATTGTCCTCTGGGATCGATGCTTCTGGGTTTGAGATTGCAGAGCCGACACAGGCATCTTCCGTTGCTGCCTCTACAGCAGATAGCATCGGTTCGGGGTCGTCGGGATCGTGGTTCTGAGGTGAGGGAAGGCGATCAATCCTAGGAGACTCTGTGGGCATGACTGGCTTTTGGGTGACTGACAGAATGACGATTAAGCATCATTCATTGGTTAACATTTTGCAGGATACATTTTCTGTGGCGACTGGACTGGAGATGGAGATGCCTGATTTGTTATCAACATCTCCATCTCCAACTACGTAGTGAACACGCTCTTAGGAAACCCTCTGTCAGGTACAAAAAACCGTTCTGTGCGTACCATTCATAGAGCGGAGAAATGAAATGACTTCAATGTTGGTAGTGAATGAGGATAGTGACAAGTTGGCGGACCTAGCATCAATATATTATCTAGAAGAGCTGTTCTACCGTGTAATGCGGGGTCTTTGTCAATTACTCGTACATCAACATCAGGATTGATAAGATTGTCCAAAATATCAGCCGCTTGGGGAAGCATAGATTTCCCATAACAGATTCTGACATCCAACCCCCTAAGATTTGCGGCAACGACCTCCTTTGAAATACTACCTCCGTGGGGAAAATACTGCACGTTTCCAATAATATTTCAGTCTACCCAAAAGCAGTACCCTTGCAAAAGTGATTAGATTTGAATTTCGAATTTCCCGCCAATCTGTCACTGGAGTCTGGTCTGGATTCCGGACCTCATTTCAAAAGAT